ATTTGTGTGTGTGTGTCAATCGAAAAATCGCTCACTGTTCTTATTACACCATACTGAATATACTACTCAAATGCAGCAACCACGAGTGTGATGTGCATCAAGATTATCTCCTGGATAGAATCGGCCAAAGTAAATTCCAATGGATCAACTCTAATATGCAATCGTTAAACATGCAAGGCGCGCCGGCATTACCCGAGTACATCATCCAGACGGTTACCATGGGAACGGTCACTAAGCGCGTGGGGTTGCTAGGTCTGCTAAGCAACGATCCTCATTTGTATCGGTGAGTTGCTATGATGCGGTAGACGCCTAGTCTATATATACACTGTTGCTAGTACAATCTTTATGTTTCAGGGTATTCGTTCGTTCGCCTCCTATGTACCTTGATATTAACTCAACCTACAGTTGATTAATGGTGTGCTGAGAGGTTGTACTCGTTTTATAACTTGTATTACCGTGTAGTTGTACATGTTCCTTGCGAGAAGTCGAATCATTTGATCTTCAATTACGGCTGCGATTCGGTTTGGTTGAACGGTGTTTAAGTCAAACTGTTTGTTGCGACACATTTCTGCTGAATTTTGCCTAAAACATAGTAGTTTAGCTCTATGCTAAGCACCAGAGCTCAGGTGTTTGCCATTTCTAAAACATCTCGCGAACATAATTCAAATTATTCAGGTCAAATTATTCAGGTCCAGATCGTTTATTGGCGTGTCTATAGCGCCCGTTATTTAGACATGTGAGAAAATAAGCAACAACAAAAAGATGCTAGAACACGTCTCTCGCATTCATTCAAATACCGAGAGTTCGAAATTAATGGCCTGTGAATTAATTTTGACCGTATCTATTTTTGTCCCTTAGGCCCGGATCATTCGGTGGAGCCATTATCGAACCCGTTATTTCGACATATGAGAAATTAAGCAAACAGCTGTTGGATGAGGAACATGTCGATCTGATTGTACCCATCACACACCAGAGTATGAAGGACGACCGCAAGATGGCCAAGACACTCTCCAATGTGCCGGTGATTCTGGGAGGTATGTCCCTCACAATTAGTTCATATTAATTTCGCCCTGATCGGACACTAATACCGCACTGTGCGCCTACTGGATTCCACACACTCTATATCAGTATCACATAAGTATGCCCAAGACACCCTCCACTGTGCCGGTGGTTGTGGAAGATATGCCAACAGCAATTAGTTTATTTTAGTATCGCACTATTTGGAAACTAATACCACACTTTGCGCCCACTGGATCTCATGCATTTTGTGTTAGTATCGCATACGTATGCCGGTAATTCTTGGAGGCATGTCACCCGCAATTATTCTACATTATTATTGAACTAATCGGACACTAATACCGCACCATGGTTATACTAACTTTCATACACTCTGTATGACTATTGCATAAGTACGAATGAAATGACTGAAACCGAGGGTATTTAAACAAGAGGATTGCAGGATACGAGGAGTGGTGTCTAGTAGTAGCATGTTGTTAGCATGCTTATCTGCGTATAGTTCTGATAGCCTTCCGCACGGTGGCGTTTGCGTATTAGCCCATTCGTACTGCAACATTGGCGTGCTACTCATGCTACTGAGATTTTTGCTTGATAGATCCCGCTTGTGTTCTCAAATATAAACTGAATATACAGTATATATCTATATATATATATATATATACGTATATATATATATGTATATATGTATATATGTATATATATATATATATATATGTATATACTAATTTACAAGAATAGTAATAAATAGAT